AGCACTAGTGGTGCAGAGGTTAGAGAGCTTGGCTGTGAACTAGAAGATGTTTCATGGGAGATGTGCAGTCTGCTTTTATAAAGACTTGCAGCCTTGGCAACGCCATGGAGCGATTCTACTCTGTTCCTAGGTCGCGATGAGTCAGAATTGACTCAGTAGCAGTGGGTTGAAGAATTCTACATTTTTTCCAACAGTTGGTATCCTAAGGAGTTTGTACCTTTTGCTGATTTATAGTTTCCCGTTCAATTTTTGTTTTTCTAGATATTACTGCATTTGGGCATCCTAAACATTTGTGGATTAGCCATCTGTGTTTTATTCTGTGTGGAAAGGATTACTTTTATCTTTTGTCCATTTTCCTATTGGATTGTGTGCCTTTTTACAGTTTTACAAGTCCTCAAATGTGTGTTTTGCAAATATCTTCCTATTTACTAGCCCCGTCTTTTCATGTTTCTATTTCCTTTTGATAATCAAACTTTTATTTTCCTTTATAGATGTGTGTGTGTGTGTGTGTGTGTATAATTATACATCTGTACATATATAGGTATATACGAGGAGGCACCAAAAATAAGTTTAAAAAGACTGGAATTGTGCTGGGTGGAGCAGGGCTTTTCTAATATGCCTTTTTCCCCTGGGACGAGCATTGAGCCACTCGCCCTGAGTTATTGCACCCAGTGGTGTCTGGGAAGATTCTCTCTGGTCACATTGCATTTTTTCATAAAAGTAGTTTTGCTCCAACCTAGTTTTTTTTGTGATGGCTGATTTAAGAGAACAGCTTGCGGCTGTGAAATCTTGTTTTCTGCTTGGGAAAACTGCTGCCGAAACTGTTGTGATGTTGACCACAGATTACAAGGAAAAACTCAAGTGTACGAGTGGTTTTCTCATTTCAGAAAAGGTGAACTGTCGATTGATGACAAATCTTGTTCTGAACATTGTCAGCTTCCTGAATGGACAAAAATGTCAACTCATTATACATTTGGAGTTCGTTCCACCAGGTCAGACTGTTAATCAAGCTTTCTATTTCGAAGTTCTGAAAAGATTGCATAACTATGTGACCAAAAAAACGTCCGATTTGTGGCAGATGGGACTGGTTTTGCCACCATGACATTGTACCTGCTCCCACAGCCATCTCAATGTGCCAGTTTTTGGCAGAAAACAGCAATGACTTTCTTGCCCCGTGCACCTTACTCACCTGACCTCGCTCCACACAACTTCTTTATGTTTCTGAAAAAGAAGAGGGACATGAAAAGACAGGGATTTGACGACACAGAAGAGGTAAAGAAAACAACGAGGGTGATGCTGTCAGCCATCCCAACATATGAGTGTGAAAAATCTTTCCAAGACAACAGAAAGGTGGGTGAAGGGAGACATGAAAAAATAATAATAACTTATAGATTATCAAGGGTTCATGAGAGAGGGAGGGAGGGTGGCGGAAGGAGGAGAAAAATGAGAAGCAAGGGCTCAAGCAGAAAGCAAATGTTTTGAGAATGATGATGGCAACAAATGGACAGATGTGCTGACACAATGGATGGATGGCTGGATTGTGAAAAGAGCCCCCAATAAAATGATTTAGGAAAACAAAAGAAGAATGTTTCCAAGGATGGAATCACAGATTTGACAGATATATTAAGTGTAATGGAGAGTACTTTGAAGGTGATAAGGTTTTGTAAAGAAAATTAAATACATAGCTCTGAATACAAATATTCTATTTGGGGGGGTAATATAGATATGAAATACTTCTCTAAATCAGGGTCGTAAAGCTCTGGTCCTATTAATAGAAATAATTACTTTCTTCTCAAAGGGATATGAGTTGTCTTTTGCATTTTGTCTGGACTTGATTTTTTTTTTTTAATGTTATGAGGTGGAGATTCAGTTTCAGTTTTTCCTCAGATTGTTACTCACTTTATTTTTATTTTTAGGATTTATGGCCAGAGAGGCCCATAATCATTTTTATGTTATTCACTTCTTTCAGCACTACTTATTTAATAGTTTCACCATTTCCCACTGACCTCTATGCCACTTCCATCCAATTTCCATATGCATATTTATAGGAGTATTTCTGGGCTCTGATTCTAGTCTGTTGGTTCATTTTTCTTTCCCAGACTTATTTTCTTTAACAAAATATAAGATTTTGGGAGAGGGGCCATTTTTTATTTTATTTTATGTTTTTAAAAAACGGAAATCATTAACCATAGCACTTTCTCCTCCTTCTCATGCCTACACTTATCTGTGTAACATGTTTATTTTAAAAGAATTAAGAGTGTATTGAATCTCTAGGACTATTGCTTGCTCTGACTGACAGGTGTTATTATCTCAGTAGAGAAACTTTGTTTAGAATATTTTTATTATACTTGTCCTCAGGGTATTATTCCTTTAGGTGTCTCTGGGTATAATAAATGGTTTAAGTTCTTGACGATGAGCTGAAAGATTGGCAGTATAAACTTGCTCAGAGGCACCAAAGACAGGCCCCATGATCTGCTTCTCAAAGGTCACAACCATTAAACTGAGTTCCCCTCCATCTAAGACAATGGTTCTTCCTAATGCTGTGACCCTTTAATACAGTCCCTCATATTGTGGTGACCCGAGCCATTAAATTATTTTCATTGCTACTTCATAACTGTAATTTTGCTACTGTTGTGAATCATCATGTAAATATCTGATATGCAGGATATATTTTCATTGTTACAAATTGATCATAAAGCATAGTGATTAATCACAAAGCAATATGTAATATATTGTGAAATATTTATTTTTAATTACAAATAAATGAAATTTTGTCTGGAAGCATGGTGTATGTAGCATGGGTAACAGCCTTCACGCCAGGTACTCAAATGTGGGCGTATCTGCATGTGGGCGGATCCACCTGGAGACGGATAGAGGAGTGGTGTCTTGGTTCCTAAGACCATAGGAAAACACCTAAGACCTTAGGTCTTTTCCAGTGGTCTTAGGCGACCCCTGTGAAAGGGTCATTTGACCCACAAAGGGGTTGCAACCCACAGATGAGAACCACTGATAAGGTCACCATTAGTCTGGACAGCAGGGGCAACAGCATTATTTTAGTTGATAAATAAATGTTCAAAGCAAATAATTTTAAGGAAGTTGTAACTCTTAAAATAATAAAAACAAGTCTAAATTACTAAGCTCTTATTATTGTGATCCATATGTGAGGATTATATATTCTCAAAGGCACTATTAATAACTTAAGATGCAAGATTTATATATAGACCCTCGTTCATTTAATGGAGTTTCTGTTCATAAATATCAGTAAAGGAGTCCTAGGAAAATATGAAGGAAGACTTTATCCATCACCAATCATCTCTCTCATAAATGTGTTTATGGAAACGTATACTCTACTTTTTAAGATCCTCAAGTGATTTAAAAAAAAATTAATTTGATAAGGGTGCTGAGAAGAACCAGAAATTCTGGATTTGACCTGTATTTATCTTTAGGTATTGAAAACTGTCAATTATTCTGGGGTATGCCGTACATTAATAACACAGTCAAATAGTCTGTAAACTATGTTCAATATTAAATTTATTTTACCTCTGGTTTGTACAGAAGAATTTAGCTTGTGTTAGCTAGGTAGCAAGTATTTCTGACTTAACTTCTAATTCATTGATTTATAAAGCCACCTCTTTTTTTTGGAATCCTTGTGGAGAAGCAGGTTTATATATTCCAGCAGTTGCTATGAAGCATTAGTGTTTATGAAGTACTTACTAGTAAATTTGCTTTTCTAGTTTATGAGTTGAATTTCATATGTACAAGTAGGAGCGAGGCGGCAACCGCTGATTAACACATCTATTGTTAAAGAGCTGCAGAGTCAGCCCAACGCTCAGTGCCGATATGTACAGCAGTACAAACACTGCCGTCGGCGCCATCCTGGTCGTGGTTTCCGTGTTTGAGACCGTTGTTCCAGAGCCTGTGTCTGTCCATCTGGTGGAGCTCATTTTTGCTACCTCTCAGGAAGCAGGATGTCTTTCTCCAGGGACTGGTCCCTTTTCCCTCCCGATAACATGTCCAAAGTCCTTGAGATGACATCTTGCCATATTCACTTACATGGAGCATTCTAGCTGTGCTGCTTCTAAGACAGATTTGTTCAGTCTTCTGACAGCCCACAGTATATTGCGTAGCCCTCCCCAACACCACAAATCCAAAGATATAGATTCTTCCATGTTGCCCAATTTCCACATGAACATGAGGTGATTGGAAATACCATGGCTTGGGGTCAGACACTCTTAGCCCACAAAGTGACATTTTTGCTTTTCAACACTTAAAAAGTGGTCCTTTTTTTTTACTTTTAACACTAAAAAAGAGGTCTTCTGCACTAGATTTTCCCAGTGAAACATCATTTGGTTTCTTGACTCCTGCTTCCATGACTTTTGATTGCATTTAGTAGATACCAATTCTGTGGGAAGCCCCAGCCTATGATAAATACAAAGAAGCATGACAGCATGACCCTTATCCTCAAGAACTGTATAGTCTGAGGACGTGGACATAAGCACACTATTGGCATGCATTAAATACTGGCATAAAGGACAAAAAAAGATGACAGGCAAATAAGTGATTAATTACCTACAGAATATTTTAGGCAATAGATATCATGAGCTCAAATCAAAGGTAACGTATCACTATGGCAGGAGATACCTGAAAAGGCTTCATCTCACAATTATCTTCTGAATAGGACCTTAACGAATACCTAACACTTTAGAAAGGTAGAAAATAGAGGGGTAGACCTTCTGGTTTAGGAGGAATGGCATTTTTATTCTGCTGTAATTACTAACATGGTCCTGGAGCCCTGGTGGTACTGTTACACTGCTAACTGCAAAGTTGGCAATTCAAACCCACTAGCTACTCTGTAGAAGGAAGATGAAAGAATGTGCTTCAATAAAGACTGACAGCCTCAAAACTATATAGGGTCACTATGAATTGGAATCTACTTACTGGCAGTGGACTTTGTTTACAGGGGGTGGGGGTGCGGTGCGGGTGCTTAAAAATTAGGTCAAGTGCTTGCTTTGGCAGCACATATACTAAAATTGGAATGATACAAAGATTAGCATGGCCCCTGTGCAAGGATGACATGCAAATTTGTGAAGCGTTCCATATTTTTGAAAGGAGATGGGTTGGTGTAAGACATGAAAAAAGTAATTTATAAATCATCAAAGGATCATGAGGGGGGAGGAGAGAGAAATGAGCTGGTACCAAGGGCTCAAATAGAAAGAAAATTTTTGAAAATGATCATGGCAACATTTGTACAAATGTGTTTGACACAATGGATGGATGTATAGATCGGAATAACAGCTGTAAGAGCCCCTAGTAAAATGATTTTTTAAAAAGAAATTAGGTTAAATCTATGTAACAAAAATTTCTAGTTCTCAGCCCTGCCATTCGTGCTACCATATTCACTGGTAGTGAAGGTAGTAGTAGTGAGGCTAGCGGAAATACTAGTGAGCTGATACTAAGTGCTTTCTATGTGCCAGATACGGTACTAAACCATTTTTACCCATGTTATTGCCATTCATTTTCCAGTGACCTTATGGACTGGAAGTTAGGGTTGATCCATGATCTCTTCTTATGGATGGGGGAATGGAAACTTAAAGAACTAAGTAACTTGTCCATGGTCACATGAAGTAGTGAGTCACATAGGATTGACATCGAGGCCATTAAGTCCCAGAGCCAGCAAGCAATATGGCCCATAACACTAAACATAGAAGGAGCAAATCCTTTGAAAAAAAAAAAAAAGATCTGTAGTTTGTCTGTGTGGCTGATGTTTTAGCATTCTGTCAATCCCTCGTTATTAGCTGGAGTGGTGTGTAAACTCTAGCAGTCTGCAGAATGATGAACTAGTAGTCTGTTCCTAATGAGGCCTTGCTTTTAACATGATAGCTTCTGTAGCTGCTCATGAGAAGAGATAATGGGGTAATCTGTTCTGTAAACAGCTGAGTAATGACCTTAAACTTGTGTGTTCACAGCTGAAAGAAAACATGCATATACAATTTTCTTCTGATGAAACCTAATCAATTCAAGAAACCAAATATTCATTGCTTTGGGTGGAGGCTGGTGGGTTGGAGAGGGAGAAGTTAATTTTCTCTCCTTTACTGACTCCACCAGTCTAGTGCTGCTGTGTGTTTTTAGGTTCATTTACTTTGATGTGGTTGTAAGATGTTGGTTAGCTGTTGTTTTTAACACATTTTAGTAAGTTGTTTTTCTTGGTTCGTGTGTGATGTGATATACTGTTTACATGAAATAACACCTTTCTATGTAAAACAGCATGGCTGACTTAATAGATTTGGATACAGAACGTATGGTGTAGCATACTGGTTGGGCCCCAGAAACCTGAGCAAATCACCTCAATTTCTTGTTTGTCTCAGAATGTGGTTTAGGCGTTAAAAGGGCTGTTAATATCAGTGTGTGGGGATGGGTTTGAGGAACATCAGTGTCAGAGGATACGTAAACTTTGAGCAGATGCTCCCAGATAGAATCTGTGCCAAACTGAAAAGCAGATGTGGGTGCACATTTTTTTGTGAAAGAGGTAAGCTTGTTTAGCTTTCAAGTTGGGGGTAGAACTGTCTCCCTGAAAGTTGTTGAAATACAGGATATATTGTTAGACCTGTTGTTGTTGTTCTGACTGCTGAACGTGTCTATAAAGTACTTTACTCGGTATTTCAGAATGCCTAATTTCATAAAGACGTTTATTTCAGTCTAAGGGGCAATAGTATTATTTTTTCCTCAATATATTTTCTCATAAAAAACCTGTCCATCTCGGGTTAGTGCATTTGGATAAGACATCTCAAGGGTTATGTTTTCATTTCACAGTGTAACAAGTGTGAGAGTCAGTCATCATTTGCTAGTGTGCCCATGCCGGTGAGGAAACTGACTTGTCACGTCCCATGTGCTTTGAATGCAGTGTAGCGAGTTCTGCAGTAGAAGTTGTGGACAGTTCCGAGGCTGTCCCTCTCCCGACGGCACAGTGTCATGGCTCTAGGTAGCCTTGGTGTCACTAATAGAATGAAGTAAAGAACGTGAGGTAGGCACTGTCGCATGTGGTGCTTTTCAGGAGCAGCACAGTGCGGTGATCCAAGAGGGAGGGTGGTACTGGTCGCATGACTCAAGAACCCACTTTTCATGTGGCAGTGGTGGATGCCTTTTTAAGAATAATCTCCTACCAAGAATAGTTGATCCTTTTCATTATTATACTTGGATGCAAGGTAATACACAGTTGAGAAAGAGACTTTACGAAATTGGGTGGTTCAAAGTAGGGTGTGAAATTGTGGTGCATGGTAGATTATGGTAATGAGCTATCGGCTACACTTGAGGTTTTCATTTGGCATACTTCAGTAGATTGGCTAACTTTCAACTTACAGAGTAATTTTGCAAGTTTGTTAGAATGAGTGCATTTCCTTGCTTTACATACCACAATGACATCTGCTTAGTAAACTTCCATGATCTGTTCCTGAGCATTTAGACGCCCTCTCATATATTACATAATGTGTTGGGGAGGTAAATTGAGATAGAATTTTAGGTGTTCTTACTGTAGGACAAATGGAATTGGAAGTGCCATGTTGAGTGAGACTGCCCTGCCAGGAGTGTGGTGGTGGTTTTTTGTTTTGGTGGTCTTATTTCTGATCCTATGGGGAATACCTTCTATCTTTAAACCCTGAATATGCTAGGTGTATTTTTCTTTTTAATGCTGTTTATCACGTTAAGGAATTTCCCTGTGGTTCCTAATTTGCTGAGTTTGTTTGTTTTTCACTAAGGGGCATTGGGTATAGAAATCTCACGTCAGAACTCATGTAGAGTCCTGAAGACTAAGAATCAGGAGCAGACATACTGGTTCCTATGAGGTAGAGGTCAGGCATGACCTCCACTATCTTCGCTTCTTCACCATTTCTCAACTGGGGTCAGTAATTCATTGCAATAGCCAAACAATTCATAGATCATACTCACAATTATGTGATTTATTAGGAAAGTAACTCAGGATCAGAATCAACTTGGAAGTAACAGGAGAGAACGCAGGACAGAATCTATTTCATCAATCAGGATAGCTTACAATTAGGACAGCTCTCTCAGCTCCTTGGCTGTGTTACTCCCCAACCCTTCTTGGCAGTGCTAACTAAGCCTCTCAGCTGTTTACACCTTCTTTGGACAGGGTTCCTCTTGTCCTCCCTTTGGCCCTTGGCCTTTGCCCCTCCCAGCCTTAAGGTTACTGCTGTCTGCACCTTTGGGGCATCTGCTGCTACCATAGGCAGGCCAGCTCTGCTCCGCTACTATATGCTCTGCTCTGGTGTTGGCCTCCAAAAGCTCAGCTAGGGTGTCTGCCCCTTTATGTGGGGCCCAACTTTGTTGGTGATCTTCTCATATGAGGTGCCCAGCTTGGCTCTGTGGGTTGACGTACCCACTGCCATCTGCCAGTCTGTTGGTTTCCATCACTTACACTACTGCTCGCTTGTCTCCACCACTCTCAGTTCTGCTGTGGTGGGTGCCATCTCGAACATCTAACACCGTCCCCCATGTGATGGTTCTTGACTCCAGTTACTCCCCCTTTTAAGAAGTCTCCTCAGCTTTCTCTCTCCTTAACTCTTCTTGCTCTAAAAGTCTCCACAGGACAAGACTCCGTCCCTTTGTTACCCACTATTTGCTGGTGTAGCTGTGGCTCCAGTCATTGAGTAAAATGTGGAGATTTTAGATGAAAACGTTGGGTAACTTCATTAGCACCGTTTCTTTTGCTTCTGAAAGAGAAGAAGCTGGGCAGCCCTGAGGGGACTCTCCAGCTCTTCTGTACAGTCCACAATGTAGCTTGTGCTTTGTCTGTGTTGAAGCCAGGGTGGAGATTGGCAGAGCCAACTGAGCGGCCCCGTCAGCTTCCCCCTTTCATCTCAACTGCTCTTCTCATTTTCATTGGCATTTGGTTCTGAGACCCCAGGTGTGTTGTTTCTACTAGCTTGCTCTTTCTCAGTCTTGTTATACAGAAGTCTCTGTATCTGTTCTGCCATCCATTTAAGCTTTCTCTTATTCCTGGATCCTCATTTCCTTAAAAATTATTATATTCCACTGGGTCTAATTTGCCATTTTTTTCCTCATAGAAAATGGATAATACTGAGAGATTCAGAAATGCTGTCACACATTATTGGGTCATTCCCAGATATGCCACCTAAAAATGCTTTACATTTTGAGTAGATGATGAATGCATGTTGTAAGTTCAAATGATTCAAAAGAGTGGGCAGTGCAAAGCAAATCTCCTTGCCAGTCTGATTTTCTCATTTTCTCTGTCTAGAGGCAACCATGGGCACTAATTTTACTGATTTCTGTTTTATCCTTTTCAAAGTAGTCTGCGCATATGTAAGCAGATAAATCCATTTTTATAGATTCAGGTTTTATATTTTGGGGAATCAATGAGGTAGTATTTCTTTCAGATGGGTGAATGAGGCAAGTGGCACTCATGCTGGTGCAGTGTCTAACCTTTAGAAATTTCTTTGTGTAGTATATGTTGATCTTCCATATTAGCATAAAGATAGATTTTGTATCTTACATTATTACTAGTCAGATGTGGCTCATTATCTGTTTTGAGTTGTCATACTAATTTTGACCTTACCTTTAGTTAGGGACACAAAGTATTGATTGCATAATAGCAATTGAGGTGCATGTCTGGATGCTTATAAACCCATCTGACAAAAATACACTGAGCATCTCACCCTACAAGATGTGCCTTAGCCTGGGTTTCTCCCCCGACAAGAGTGGGTCAAGTCAGAATGTTGAGACGCAAAGGAGTTGATCACACACTCCGTGACTTCATAATAAAACCAAGCAACAGCATCCACGATTCTTGGCTCCCTGGCTTTTAGCATCAACTCAGAACACTTGGACATAGACAGTAGCATGCTGCCAATTGAAGAGGTAGTCTAATGTGATTTGACACCTGTTATTTCCAGAAAAATCATAGATTTATCCCCCGCCCTTCAAAAAAAGAAACCTGTTTGAAATGGTTCTGTTAGATCTCTCTGGAACTAGATATATACCCCGGTCCTTGGCTCCGCGTGAGGAAGAATTCACGCCGAAGCCTGGTTTGTGATCCAAGTGAGTTTTATGATCGTTAGAAGTTTCAGGTTTACA